AGTGAATAGATAAACACAATCTAAAAATGCAATTTCAAGATTAAAGTAAGGAGTTCAAGGTTAGAGAAATTGAAAACTAGATGTATCTTGGTTCGGTCACCACCACCGTAACCTACATCCAAACTAAAGCCGCTCGATCAATCCTTTTCACTAGCTATTAAGCTTGAGGGTGCTTGACAAACAACTACAATCTTTCAAGACTTCGGGCTCTTGACGCCTTACAATTTTTCACTCCAAATTTTCTTAGGAATTTGGTGACCTCTCAAGTATAAAGGGTTCAATCCCCTAACTATTCAAGAAATTCAAATAGAGGTGTTTACCGATACCTAAGTACTCTCAAATTACAGACTATACAAGTTGAAGAACTATGTGTATTGACACTTTCACAAGAATAAAGCTCAAAGAGTGTTTATGATCAAGATGAATGAGAATAAGCAAATAATACTATTTAATTCAAGAATAATGATCAAGAAGTGTTGTCTAATCAATGGAACAATGATTCTTATTTATAGAGGCTCTCCATTGCTGTATCAACAATCATTTTCGCAAACTAGCCATTTTATAGCCGTTATTTTTGTCTTAAGCATCAGTGGGTAATCGATTACCATAGGTTGGGTAATCGATTACCTCAAAGGGTAATCGATTATCAACTTGTCAAAGGTTGGAATTCGTTTTGAAAATGGTTTTCCTTGCTTTCAATCATTTGATAAATACTAAAGAAGGGTTTTTCATGAAAGTTAGATGGTAGAGATATCAAATGATGAGTTTATGCATGTGTTTTGAAAAATACTCCTTGAGCTTATTTATGTAAGATGTTCATTTCCTTTACATTTGATTCTAAGTCCTAAGCTATATTATTTGCGTATTCTTTGAACTTAGATTCTTCTCTTGAAGCTTAAGTCTTGATCTTCTTTAAGCTTTGTCATTGTATTGATGGACTTCACATTGGTTCGTTGATCATTTAAACTTCTTTTTGATTGTTGTGAGTTGTATCATTCTTGAGGCCTCTTCCAAGGTTGTTTATTATCATCAAAACTATTGTATTATAGAGATCTTTATTTTGAGTGCATTGGTTCCACAATCTCCCCCCTTTTTGATGAAGACAAACTCAATTTGAGATAGGGTTAGAGTAATATGTGTTTTTATCAAAGAGTAGTACTAAGACTCCCCCTAGGTCATGAATGATATAACAAAAATATAAAAGATAGAGTTGAAGTTTCCGTTTGCCCTATTTTTACCTTTGTAGTTTATTCTCGCCCTTTTGACCTTAATGTGTGCCTCTAACTCAGAAGCTTACACATAATGGGAGAGTTGTGTGATTTTCTCAATTTGCATATCTTCTCCCCCTTTGACAACATCAAAAAGCATTATATAATCCAAAACAGAAAATAGTGACATCTAAAGAGAATTCCAAACAATAAGCTATAGAAAGCCAAAATCAGGTTATAAACATCCAAAAGGATCCAAACTAGTACAAATAGTCAAAGTATGCACAATAGTTCAAGCAACTATAGGAGTCCATAGTGGAGTCTGTTGCGACTCGACAAGTGCACCAGTCGTAAAAGTAATAAAGTGTACTGAGTATGAGATCGTTCCCACGAGGATTGGTTTTCAAGCACTAGTTCGCTAACAACGGTTTAGTTGGACAATCAAGATTTGGATTTGAAAAGAATTGAAATTAAAAACAATCAATAACATGCAATTTCAGAATTAAAAGCAAGAAAGTAATTGAAAATATGATTGATTAAGAATTTAAAAACAAGCGTAGTTAAGGTTTCGACTTTCTCCAATCTCCTCTATATGCAATGAATTAAATTGTTAAGAATCTGTTCTTAATATAATGCCAATCAATTCTTTCTAAGTTAATTATGGCTCAATTCCTTGTTACCCTACATCTATATGATCTTGAAAGAACTCTAGTTCCCTGATTATTCCCCAAGAAAACATGCATTAAGATCAAGAATTCAACGATTGCACAATTACCATATGTCTATCCCTAGATCACAAGGATTGTGATAAATTTACCAAGTCAGGGTTCATGCACCAACATCCCTATTGTCATACAATTCCCCTAAATCAATCTATAAGGAGCAAACTCATAGAAAGCATTAAAGACGGATAAATTTATTCAATTATAAAAAGAAAATAATTCGGAGATAATTTAATTCATAAACATAAAGATTCAATTGGGTTCCATCTACCCCTAACTACAGAAAAAACTTAGCCTTGCATGCTGAATTCAAAAGCAATAATAAAGACAAGAGAACCCCAAGCCTCCATTGGTGTGATGTTGACTTGGTTCCTCAGTGCTCCCACGCTCCACAACAGGATTCCTCCTTGTGCTGCTTCAGACGCCTCTCCGTACTTTCCCTCTTTTATGGTCCCAAGGCCCTTTATTTATAGAGGAGAAAAATATCGTTTTAATCTCCATTCAAATCTCCTTCAAATCTTCATTCAAATCTTAATTTGGATATTGATAATAATTGGGCCTGAATTTTGACGCATCAGAGCGTTTTGGCGCTCATTAGAGCGCCAAAACGCTCTCCTAGTGTATTCTTGTCTGCCTTAGGGCTTTTTAGTGCTCATCTGGGCGCTAAAACGCTCTCTTACAAAGGAACTTTGTGCTGTCAGGGCGTTTTAATGCTCTGTTGGGCGCTAAAACGCTCTCCTCCAGTGGATTTTTGCTATTTTGCTTCTTTAGGGCGTTTTAGCGCTATGTTGGGCGCTAAAACGCTCTCCATCAGCTTGTGAATTGCTTGTAACTTGCTTTCTTTGGACTTCCTTGGGTATTCAAACATCTTTTTTCGTTCCTTTGCTCCATTAAGCATTCTTTTATGTCAAAATACCTTCAAAATAGGCAAGATTACAACATGTTAGCTAAAAATTCCAATCTTTATTATTTTATAATGTACAGCCCTAATTTCCATGCAATTCACTATGTAATTCTTGTATAAATTAGCCTAAAACCATGGTAAACCAAGGGTTTATCAAACATTCCCAAATTTAAATATTGCTGTCCTCAGCAATCAATCAGAATAAACTAAGGGAATTTGGAGCAGGAATTCTCAATTGCATGGAAATTTGATAGGAATGATTCAATCAGAGAATTGATTACAGAGCATTCAGACTTTAAAGAATGATACATCAATCAACAAGATGCATAATTCATCAGTTAAAAATTTCGATGAAATTTCTTAAGATCAAGGAAAATTTTCTGAAACACTCCCTCACTAGGATTTCAATTCACTCACACTCAACTGTTTAGGGGGTTGGTGTTTCACTCATCTTGCACTGAATCAACACTATCATACGCTTGCTTATATTCTCGCTCTCCACAGTTGTTATGATAAATCAAGAAGATCAAGAGGTCTTCATCAGGGTTGTAATGTGGCATGGTTAAACGAAGGGAAAATTTTTGGGAACGAGTTTCAAGATTAAAATCCAGATTCAAATAGGAATAAGTACAATTTGTAACCAACTTTTCTTCTTCTTTTCTGTTCATTCTTCTTCTTTTTCCTTTGGACTTTTTCTCTTTCATCGTTCTCTTTTATAAGAACATTTCACTTCTTTATTTTCACTTCTTTTCCTTTCCTTTTTCGGAGTAATTTTTCTTCTTCTTTGTTCTAACCAATTCCTTTGGCTTTGCCCTTTTTACTTGTACTTCCATACATCAAAAACTTATGCAATCACAATTTACATCCATCCCTTACTTCAAATCTGAAATTTAATCTTCAATTAAGGTGAGGAATTATATGGGAAGTGGCTATTCATATTCAAGGGTTTTCAATGAATAACAAGTCTAGGCTCAAGGGGGCTCAACTAAGTAATATCAACAAAGGTTAGCTATTTGGCCATCTAGTTAAAGAAAGAACATGCCTCTATCATTTCTACAAAATATATCACAGACCATTTCAAGCAAGAAACAAAGCAAATTCTAGAGTATCTCATATAGTGGAATGCACACTTAATAAAAATTTTCTGTATAGGCTCAAAATCTCACGGCTTATGAATGCACAGTAGTTTTCCTGTTCTTTATCTCAATCAATACCATCACCAAAGATAATATTAGATGAATCATGTCACTTATTGCAATGATGCTCATTATAAAAAATTATGTAAGCACATCATCATGCTCTAAATCAAATCACTGATCAAAATTCCTACCAATCTTCCATTTATTTCCACTGAGAAAGAAAAACTTTAAAATTTTCACAAAAATAATAGATTGGGGGTTTTCAAATCAAACTAAAAATTCAATTCAAAAAGAATTCAGCTAAAGCAAAGGAGAATGGATTTGAGATAGTTCCCTATTTTAGCCGGATATTCTGTATTTACTCATGAAGTTCCTCCGGCTTACTCAATTGTGCTTAGATGAACCGCGTGTTCCCCAATTCCCAGATTTAAATGTTGCTATCCTCAGCAACAGATTTAAATCTAAAAAAGAAAATGCGTTGAGAAATAAAAAACTAGTTGCTCTCTCTTGTTGTTTGTTCCTTTTTCTTCACCTGCAAAATTCACTCAATGACAGTCATTAGTCTCAACGCCTTCTCCTATATTTTTGAATTTTTCTTTATTTAATTCAAAAAAAATAACTAAAACAGTGAAATTAAAACAAAACAGTAAAGTGTGGGTTTGCCTACCCATTAGCGCTTGTTTAACGTCACGAGCCTGACATACCTGATTTACCTTCATGGTGGCTCAAAGCATGAGCTTGGTGATGACCAAGCTCCATCATTCAGAAATTGTGTCCTACCATAATGCTCTTGCGCATATGAGTGAGATACAGTAGCCTCAAGAACTTTGAATTTGGTATTTATATGCTTTCCTTTGCTCTTGGGCTTCTCCATTTTAACCTTTGGCTTACCTTCTTGAGGAGAATTCTCTTTGTGCTCTTCTTCACCTTTCTTTTTACCAATATAGTAGACTTGATCTTCTAGTTGAACTTCAGGTGGAGAATTTTCTTTTTCAAAGAACTTGAATATAGTCTGCTCTCCGTCCACTCATAAGTTCAGCTCACCCTTAAGCACATCAATCAGTGCTCCTGAGGTTGCCAAGAAGGGACTTCCAAAAATCATAGAAATAATGGCAACTTCTTCAATATCAAGGATGACAAAATCAACAGGAATGATGAATTTGTCTACCTTTACCAATATATCCTCAATGATGCCATAAGCTTGCTTTGAAGAGCGGTCAGCCAGTTGCACTATTGTTCTTGTGGGCTTCACTTCAGTAATCCCTAGATTCTTCATCATGGAGAGTGGCATGACATTGATGCTAGCTCCAAGATCACATAAAACATTATCCACTTCCACTTTGCCTATAGTGCATGGAATGCTGAAGCTCCCTGGATCCTTGACTTTGGTAGGTAACTTCTTTTGGATGATAGCATTACATTCTTCTGTCAGATTTACCGTCTCATATTCTCGCAACTTATGCTTCCTTGATAATAGATCCTTCATGAACCTTGCATAGTTGGGCATGTTCTTTAAAGCTTCAACAAAAGGAATGTTGATCTGCAACCTCCTGAATATGTCTAGAAACTTTGAATACTGTTGCTTCTGATTCTCTTTCTTTAATCTCTGAGGATACGGGATTCGAGCATATGGGGAGAGATCTAAGGGCTTGTCTTGCCTTTCTAAAGTTTTCTTCTTCTCCCACTTAAATAATTTCCTTTCAACTTTTTCAGGATTGCCCTTGTCAACTTCAATAGTATCCTTTGCCTTTTCTTGCTTCTCTTCTTCAACTGATGCTTCTCCATCCTTCTTCTCTTCTTCAGGCTGCTCCTTTATAGGATGAATCATTGTCCCACTTCTTGTGATAATTGCATTGCAGTGCTCTCTAGGATTAATGATAGTGTCTCCTGGAAAGGTACCCTTAGCTTTCTTAGCAAATTGCCTTGACAACTGGCCAATCTGAGTTTTCAAATTTCTTATGGAAGCTTCTTGATTCTAGAGTGTTGATCTGGTCTCTTGCATGAATGCAGATGTATCCTCCCTGAAAGCATTTGCACCTTGAATATAGTCTGAAGTGGTCTTAGAGAGTTGTGCGAAGGCTTTCTCCCACTCTAAGGTGTTACTTTGTTGTGGGGGATGTGGTTGCACTGGAAGGGGAGGGTTGAACTGATGGTTGGATTTGTAACTGAATCCTGGATGCTGATTTTGATTCTTCCACCCTTGATTGTAGTTATTCCTAAACTGGTTCCTCCCCGGATCATTCTGGTTCTTCTGATCATACCAGAGTCTGTTTACTTCAGCAGTTTCAGGTGCTCTCATCAAATCACATTCTTCTGTAGCATGAGTACCTGCACATATACCACAAGTTACATTAGGATTATTAATAGAAGAGACTTGAGAATTAAAAAATTGCTTTGTGAGAGCATCAAGTTGTGCTTGTTGTCTCTTGTTAATTTGCAATATTTGCTCGTTTTGGGCCAACAGTGCATCATAGCCGTCGAGCTTCATGATTCCCGCTCTCCTTTGAGTGACTGGAGGATTGTCGAACTCCTGAGAGGCTAAAGATTCCAACAATTCCAGCGCTTCCTCTGGAGTTTTTGTTTTCAATGATCCCCCTGATGCAGCATTCACCAAGGTTCTTGTACTAGGCGTCATTCCTTGGAAGAAAATCTGTCCTTTCTCGCAAGCTTCAAAGCCATATTATGGACACTTCCTTAGCAGTCCTTTGAACCTTTCCCATCCCTCGTACAAGGATTCACTTTCTTTTTGTTCAAAAGAAGTGATATCTGCTTTGAGCCTTGCCATCTTTGAAGCTGAGAAGAATCTGGCCAAGAGCTTGGTCGCCAAATCATCCCAGTTGGTGATGCTTCCTTGAGGCAGTGACCGCAACCACCCTCTTGCTTCTTTTTTCAGTGAGCATGGGAAAAGTCTGAGCAAGATGGCGTCACGTAAGACTCCATTCATCTTCAAGGTGCCACAGTAGAGCAAGAAATTCTCTAGATGACTGTAGGGGTCTGCCGTGCTTCCTCCAGCAAACTACTCTTTTTGTATTCATTGCAGTAGAGCTGGCTTGAGTTCAAAGTTGTTAGCGTCCATGTTGGGTCTAACGATGCTCACCGTCTGCGAAACTCGAGTTGGAGTCATGTAATCTCCCCACGTCCTTGGAATAGGTGGGAGTCGATTATTCTCTGCCATAGTTTCCTCCTTTGGTTCCGTCGAGCTTGATGCTTCCTTTGCTTCTTTTTCTTTTCTTTCTTTTGCGCTCTCTCTTAGTTTTCTTTCTGTCTTTTCTATCTAATGATCAAACTGCAAGGATCGTGGGTGAACAGTACCTCACATAAACTAAGAGTAAAAAAGATTATGCAGAAAATAGAAAACAGAAAATAATATAATGCAGAAAATGCAGGAAAAATAAAATAAAATAAAATTAAAATAATAAAAAATTAAAAATTAAAAATAAACAAATGTAAAAGTTAAAAAATTAAAAAGTAAAAATTAAAAAGTATAAAAATAAAAAAATTAAAAAAATTAAATTAAAAAAAAGTAAAAATAAAAAACAATTTAAAAAATAAAAAGAAAAAGAAAAATAAAATAAAATAGAATAGAATAGAATAAAATTATACAGAAAATTTAAATTGTAGAAAAATAAAAAGTCCAATCTAGATTGCTTATAGCTTCTTCTAATGTTGAAGGACCCAATCCCCGGCAACGGCGACAAAAACTTGTTGCGACTCGGCAAGTGCACCGGTCATAAAAGTAATAAAGTGTACTGAGTACGAAATCGTTCTCACGAGGATTGATTTTCAAGCACTAGTTCGCTAACAACGGTTTAGTTGGACAATCAAGATTTGGATTTGAAAAGAATTGAAATTAAAAACAATCAATAACATGCAATTTCAGAATTCAAAGCAAGAAAGTAATTGAAAAGATGATTGATTAAGAATTTAAAAACAAGCGTAGTTAAGGTTTCGACTTTCCCCAATCTCCTTTATATGCAATGAATTAAATCGTCAAGAATCTGTTCTTAATATAATGCCAATCAATTCTTTCTAAGTTAATTAGGGCTCAATTCCTTCTTACAGTCCACTGTATCCCCCCAAATGAACCCTCTAGTTTTGCGTTCTATATCATCACAAGTAGTCTTTGAAATGATGGAAGTTTGCATCGGATACAATGAGATAGCAGATAAAACAGACTTCACCAAAGTCACCCTACCAACAGGAGATAAATTGGACTGCTTCCAAGAATTTAATCTTTTGTGAACTCTATCCAACACATAGCCAAAAGAGCTTCTCCTAATTCTTCTATGATGAAACGGGATACCCAAGTAATGCCCCAAATCAGATGTTAAAGAAAGACCCATCTTATTACTGATCTCTTGAGCACGAGAATGGTTGATATTTTTAGAGAAAAAAATCTTACTTTTGTTGTTCACCTTCTGACCCGAAGCTTTACAAAAACAATCCAAGATTGTTGAAATTAGACCAGCTTGTTCAGTTGAAGCTTCTGCAAAAATTAATGAATTATCTGCAAAAATAAATGAGATATGGGAGGCCCATTTTTCTTAAGAACAATAGGCTTCCAACCTTTATGTGATATTGCACTATTAATCAGGTGACCAAGCTTCTCAATGCATAACACAAAAAGATAAGGAGAAAGAGGATCCCCTGACGAATTCCTCTTGTAGGGTAAAACTCCTTAGTGGTATACCCATTCAAAGAATGTTCATAAAACAAGTCGAGACACAGCTCATGATGAGTTGAATGAAACTAGTTGGAAATTTTAGCTCATGAAGAGTATTTTCCAAAAAATCCCATCCCATCCTATCATAAGCTTTCTCCAAATCGATTTTAATAGCCATCCAACCTTGCTTCCCTTTCTTAGCACGCATCGAATGGAAAATCTCCTGGGAAATAATAATATTATCTGATCCATGCCTTCCTTTAAATTAGGCATGACCAAGCTAGGCATAAGATCCTTCAAACGTTTGGCAATTATCTTAGTGACTATTTTATAAATGACATTACACAAGCTAATTGGCCTGAAATGTTTAAAAGATTCAGGTGTCTCAAGCTTCGGAATCAGACAAAGCAACATTTGATTAACCTCATTTATCTTCATGGGATCCTCAAAAACTTCTATAATGAATCTGCAAACCGATGGCCCAATTAGATGCCATTGGGAATGAAAAAAAGCTGCATGTAAACCATCCACTCCAGGAGCTTTGTAAGGTCCTATTTTGGTAACAACCATCTTGATTTCTTCCACAGTCGGAATTCTACCAATACGATGCAAAGCGTTGGACTGTAACCCAGGAAAACAATTTAAAATGGGCAACAAAGGCTTCTGCAGGAATTCTTCACGATAAAGATCTTCAAAGTAAGAAACTCTCATTTCCATTAATTGGTTAGGATCACCAACCCAATCACCATTGTCATCTTTCAAAGCATCAATTCTATTTTTCCTTCTTCGCACCACAGTTGAAGAGTGGAAAAGACGAGTGTTACGATATCCATTGGAGGCGAGATCTTTGGAACCAGGTGAGTTCCTCTCGAATGTAAATAGTATTCAATTCATTCCAAAGCTTCTTCTGTAACCTCTCCAGAGAACTACTAGGTTGATGCCAAAGGCTTTCATTAATATCACGAAGCCGAGCATGATGGTTCCTCTTTTGCTGCATCGTGACTTTGAAGGTCTCCTGATGCCAGGTCGTCGCTTTCTGTTTAAAGTTTGTACTCGCCTCATTCCAAGTCACCCTTTTTGGCCAACTATCTTCAACAACATGATGGAACTCCTCATGAGTTAACCAAGCTGCCATGTGTTAGTATATGGATGTCCTAGAGACAATCTTTTAATTAGATTAGGACATATGTGGACCTTTGTATTGTCGCAAATAAATAAAAACACTATTTATCCAGTTTCATATTTTGTCTCAATATTACTGTTAATATTTTATATGAGTAACTGGATAAATCCCTTGGAATAAAATAGGTATCCCTTGAGTATCTGTGATGAGATCACGATCATGAGGATTCAAGGATACTGGATATTTATTCCTAATTTTATGTTCCTAGTCTAGAGACACTGAGAATGGGGATCAGTGATCTCGGGTAAGACTAGTACGACTTATCTACTTGTATTCAGATGCAAGGTAAAGACCTCATGAGCTATAGATATGGAGATGTCTTAGCTAAAGTCGTGGGTGGATCTATAAGGGTATAGCTCGCACTGAACAGACCCACAAAAGAGACTCTATGAGAAAATCTCATTGAGAGTATCATTAGAGTAGTCTCTTTATATTTGGGTATGTCTTTCCTTATACCAGAAGTTATTACCTAGACTGTGTTCTAGAAGGCATGCTTTGACTGTATACCTCGTCTGCCTGAAACATGGAGACTCATAGGTATACTGTTGGGCTTGTCCTGAAAGAGCACAGGGCTAGGGTGATAAGCTGAAGGAATTCATCAAATCTCTGTGAGAGATTAGGTTATCTGTAAACCGAAGAAATCGGGATGACATTTACAGGGACTCGGGAATCTATGCACAGTAAAAGAGATCATGAGATGATATGTCTTTAGAGTCAGTAAATTGAAGATTCCCTATTTCAAATAAAGCTTACTCTAAACCGCAAGGGTTGATACGCTTCCTTACCCTAGGTTTTATGGGAAGGTAACTGAGACGAAAAGAAATACATACGGCAACCAAATATATGTAATAGGATGATCAAGTCATTAATCTAACTAGCTCTGGGGAAACAAAGCATTGCTAGTGCTTTGTGTTGTCATTAAATGGGTTGTGGGCTTGTTGGGCCCGAGCCCATTTATGTCAGTGGCTATGTTGGACCTAAT